CCAACTCCCAGAGTCCCGCATCCTCAGATAGGCCGCCATTGCTTTCCTCCCGATATATATTCTGGGACAAATCCTCTGATTTGTTGTTGTGACAAAAAGTAACAAAAACATAGTATTCTCAAATCACATCAAAGCCATCACCACAAAAAAGACTGAATAAGCAGAATCAATATTGCAAAAATGTCACTAGTCCATGCTTTTTTTGCGATCATATTTTCTTTATAAATATTCACGTTGATATGGCGGTAATAAAGCACCTACTTTCATTTCATTATCATTCAGAGGCCAAAGAATTGTAAGTAGCAAATGGTCCGATAAATTGCTTTTATAAAAATATCCTTCCTATTACTTCCATGATATGCGTTAAAATTGCAGTTTTAAACACAATTAAAAATTTTATGGTGAGCTATAATGAGCGCGAAATTCTAATCAAAATTAAAATTTGTTTGTATGGATGAATAAAAACAGTATTGATTATCGAATTCGGCAAATAATAGACTTTTAATACAGTACAGAGGAAGCAATATAACTTTGGCAGCTTAATCATGTAAGAAATTGTTTGAAAAATTGTTACGTAATTGTTGGGTTAGGATTCTGAAAATTTCAGGAGCAGGAGATATACCAAAAATACACTCGGTGACTATAAGTAGGGTCATCTTCAGTGATATACACTGCTCGCCAACAGCCATGGAATCATGTGAATTTATTACTTATTTTGTAGAATTTATTTAAACGAAGCGTGCCGAAATATCATGCAATTTATAAGCGTATGTGATTAACTGAATAACAATAATAATATCTGTAATTATAATAATAAATAAATGTCAAAGTATTTTTCACTAGGTTATGAAATGTTTCAGTAAATCAGTAGATCAGTTTGCAAATCAGGAGATCTACTGAAAATTCAGTATAACTGGCAACCCTGCAGCCCACGAAAAGTGTTCGCGGACGAAATGTTAATGTCTGCGGATGAAAAGTACTAGCCTTCGATTTTTAGTTCGGAAATTATAACGTAAAATGTGATTTTTTGTTGAGGTCGGCGAAAAACAGAGTAACCACTGCCAAGTACTTGACCAGTAAAGACAATTAACATCTATTAGTTAGAGTTAGTACCTTTATGGAACTCAAATTGACGTATGTTATCAATTGTTGAATTCTTGGAAAAAATAATATAGTAATTTCGGTAAAATCCAGAATAATGCATTATTTTAGTCTTTGCACTGCACTCTAATTACCAAGTAATACTTTGCAATAACCAACCTTTCTACTAATTCCTCATCATTGCTCTAGAGACCAGTAATTCCCAATTACACCCATCAGTAATTCTTCATAATACTTTCCGTGTCCTCATCATCATTAAAATTTATACTGATTCAAAAATGTCCATCCTGAAGAATCCTCATCAATTCATTGCATTAAAGCCTTGATATCATTTCTAAAACACCATTTCAATATTGATTTTTCACATTTTCTACTATTCCTCATTGAGACCAATATAATTCCTTGTGATACCTCATATATTTTCCTTTTCTGCATTGAGCCCTTTCAATGTATAGTAATACCCAGTAATGTCTCTAACACCCAACTAATATAGTCTCCTCATCATCCGATAATCCCCTCTTAACGCCTTTCAATGTTGTTATTGTTGTTGTTTTCAAGTTATGTTTCAAACGCCATACGAACAATAATTTCCTGAAACAGTGTGCATTTGCAGCTAGCAGAATCACAGAAGAAGCGTCCCCGACAGTGATCCTGCTACCAAACGGCAGGATGCTGGTAGTCGATCGCAGAATCCTGATGCAATCGGCCTTCGATCTGTCAAACGTTCCCTTTCGTGGCAGTACGCCCAGCATCCTAGATTCCAGCGAGACGAGCAAAGGGGTGTCGCCCACCTCTCTGGGTTACCCCCCGCCCAATTACGAAGATGTCTTCCCCCGCTTATTGCTAGACCTCCCACCCTCCTACAGCGAGATCAGCCTGATGGCGAAGAACTTCGAGGCCATGGAGATGACGGCTTTATACAGGAACTCCGAAGCTATCGGGTTAACAGCTTCGGAAGCCGTTGGTTTAACAGCTTCGGAAGCTGTTGCGGTAACAGCTTCGGAAGCTGTTACGGTAACAGCTTCGGAGTCTGTAGGGGTTGCGGCTTCTGACCTGAGCTTGGAAGCTGTTGCGGTAACAGCTTCGAGCCAAGGTTCGGAATCTGTTGGTATGGCAGCCATTGAAATGGCAGGCTTGAGAGTGGGGTTAGGAGTAGCTTCGGAGGATGGAGAGTGCGCGGTTGACGCTGATAGTGAGCAAAACACGGTGATAGTTGTGGAGAACAACCAGGGGGTTGGTGGTGGAAATAATGACGACGTCGAGGTGAACGTAGATAGGACCAATTATTATAATAGTTTCTGACTGTTCTGGAGCTTTGTCAACCAAGATTTGTTTCATTTTTAGCGAGGGTTGCATATTCAGTTGGTTTTCGGATTTGCGAATGACACAAAAAATTGAACAGTTTTGTTGACAATGCTTGATATCATAAGACTGTTCGTATCAGTCAATGTTGATGATCAGTTTTTAATCTTAATTGATTTATATCCGTTTAGTCAAAAACCATACCTATGGGTGGTTAAAGATTAGAAAAAGCAAATCTCGGTACCAAATTTTCACTCCAAATATCTGATAAATAATAAATTCACTGTAGAAAATATTTCTTCACAAATGTCAGAAAGACAAAATTGAAGCAACCGATACTGGATATGCGAGGTCTCCTAAGAATAAACAAAAAACATTAGGTACCAATATTTTTCCCTACAAATGTATGAATATTTTTTTACAGGAGAAAACTTGCAGAAAATTTCTGTTTGATATATTGTGAGAAAATAATTTACAATAGGTAAAAAACGTTCTACTATTTCCTCACATTATTTTTCACCAAACATTTCTTCTGATGTGGGGACATGGAAATTGATACAAAGTTGTCTTCAAGAAGAATATCTATATATCATAGAATCTATGTATATATCAAGAGAATCAAAAGATTATTCGATTTTATAATGTCAAAATGCTTCAAATCTTCAAGTCTTCCCTGAAATTCATCTAAAGCTTTACGAATTAGTATCCAATGTTTCCTTGTTGAGTCAATTAATATTACATATTATGAGAGACAAGAGAGAATTATCAGACATTCTGAAATTCTCAAATTCCTCTGTAGTTTCTACTTGTCCAAAATAATGGAGGTAAATCAATTTATAATGTGATATTTTCAAACGTAACTAACGAATTATTCTTCAACGAATTGATTCTGTAAGGCATATCATTTGAAATTCTAGCACAATTTTCTGATCCCTCTCAATCAATGAAATATCTGTGAGACAAGTATCATAAATCATGAAGAATTCATGTATAAGTATTTCATTATCTTTCAATAATGTTTGAAAATATAAGAGGTTTTCAATATTTTATGAGGTACCCCTATTTGAAATTTGCTTTGCTTTGATAGCAATTGATTTTATTTGTAAATCACTGAATATACTGATGTCCATACCAATAATAGACTATAGTTATTCTGAAAATTCTGAACACTTATTAGCAGCATGGGTGTATCTTTCCAAATATCCAAATTCACTGCATTGTACAACAGAATTGACATATAGAATTGAGAGGGAGCCTGGATTCATCAAAATGAAAAAAACCACCAGATGATGCTGTTTGGCATATATTTCAAAGTGTGCTAAAGGTTAAATCTGTTTAAAATGTATGGGCACTGAACTTAATAATCTGAATAAAAGGTATCATGAAAAACTGAAAAGTAATGATCGCTAACGCTAAAATGTGAAAAATATGTAAATCCTTCAAAATTTGTTGGAATTTCTCAGCACTTTTCCACTGTATTCAGTTTTTTCAGTGGTACTCCCCTACTATACTTCTATTCATATGTGAATGTGAATAATAGCACAAAGTTAATATAGATACACTCTCTGTGTTTTTTTTATCATAGTGAAACTCGTCCGAACACCAAACAATTTATATATGTAGTATTATTATATACCTATAGATACTTCACAAGCTTTTGTATTTCTGGCCTCTACCTGTAAATTGAGAAAAAAAGTCCATGGATTTTATTGTAACATTGATTAATAAAAATAGATATACAAAGATATATCCTCTACCATCATAACCCAGGACGTTTTATTGTTCATAAATGATATACTATATAGGAAATGTTTCCCAAATTGAAACATCACTTATGAAATGGGTAATCCAAGCAGACCAATAATAAAATACCTGCTTAATACATTTTATCCGACAAACGAAAACAATTATTTTTTATAGCGGCAAGTAACGCTTTGTAAATTTATTTAAATCTATGCTACAAATTTGAAATCTATCTCTCTCCCTTTCTGAATATATGGCCTCTTGTCTCACGACATATACAGCCAGAATCCTCATTACGGAGAATCCGTCCTCATCCGGCCTGGATACCGGCGTAAATAATAAGAGTTTTGTTTTTCGAGCACCCTGAATGTCTTACTCGAAGTGATATCAAGTATTGTGCTCTTTTAGGGTTTCAAACTCACAAAAACATTAACTGACTTCCGACCTGAAATCCACCGCGGTTTCTGATTTAGAAGAATCTGGCTTGGGGCTTGGCTTGCCGGTAAATTTTGATAAGAAAAAGCAGCTTGCCCTTAGTGTCAATAGCTGTTACAGTTCCTAGTAGCAGTAGTGCATTGGCTTTTTACAGTGCGCTTCACTGGATACGTGGCTACTGACTGAGAACAGAAGAGGCTCTCTTCTGTCAGTATTTCCTGTTTATCTGTCAGTGTCAATAGTGTCCTACACTGACTGTCATTCTAAGCTTTATTTTGATTTTTATTGTATTTGTCAATAAAGGAAGCTTTCACACAAAAATTATAACTAATTTTAAAATTTCTAATTTAGATATACAGTCACATTGAATCCTTGTAAACTTTAGCCACTTTAGCTTTGTAGTTGATCGTCGCTTTGCTATGGGAAGTACTGCGAAAGCCATTATGACTGGTTTTATATGTAGGTTATGCTCCAATCAAAAAAAAATTGTGATTCACCTCTATACTCAAAGGGCCAAGAAATTGGAGTTGCTGAAGAAAATCAAGCTATTACCACTTGATGTATGTTCTACACAATATACCTTATTATTTCCATAAGCATATTGGTCTCATCATATTCTTCAATTTCAGTTGACAAGATATGATAATTTACCAAAAACTATTTGTGAAGAATGCATCAACCGTTTGGAAATACAGTATAATATGATTCAGAGAATCAGGAAAAGTCATGCTATACACCGTCGACATCGGATGTATCATGTAAGTCTACACACTATTTATTTGAACTCAGTATAGAACTTTCATTATGTGTAGTGTGTACCTAACCAACCCACCATATTTTCCAGAGTAATGGTAGATGCCCTGTTGAATGCCCATTACGAGGTACTGTGGACCCCTCTTGGCCTGAAATGGCCCTAGAGGAATCATCAGTATAGTTATCCATTACTCATTCAAATTGTACATAGCTAATTAGAATATCTCATACCTCATTTCTGATGAATCGCATAAACTTGTATTATTGTGGCTAATTCAGTTGATTACAAATTTTAAGTACCTACCCAGTGAATATTATTTCAACAATACACTGATTCACTACTAAGAGTTCTTCCAGCATAATTTCACACAATATATTTTGAGGTCTCTTAAACCAGTATACTAAAGAATACTTTTTGTACACAAGCATAAGTTCCATGATATCACCATATCACTGATTATTTGATACTCAATCCATGCAGAGATTATACACACTGTATAATCTCTGATCCATGTAATGCCAGTTGACATAGATATATATACAGTGTGTCCAGTTTTCCATGCTTTTGCATGATACCTCAGTTATCTTTGGAGATATAATGTTGTGGTTTTCACCTAACTTTTTTGGGAAACAAATGATGCTGCAAACAGAATTTTCAGCTCTTCATTTTTTGAAGATACAGGGCAAAGTTGAAAATTCTCACTTTTTGAGCACCTTCCCTTTCTTGGTTACTTTTCAACTCATCTGGAGGATGAGAACAGTCTTTGGAGAAAGCTGGACATTCATTCATTCATTTATTCAAATGTTTTGATCAATAGTAACTTTTTATTTTCACAAATTTAAGGAGCATTGTAATATTATATTCATTACAAAATTCAATAAATATCTCCTATCCTAAATATAAAACAAGTCAATTTTTGAGAAACTCTAAGGTATTTAAAAAAATATTGTTGGCATATGTACAAAGCTGATACAAAACCAATTCTTTTGTGCCACTTTTTTTCATTTAAAATATATTAACACTTATTTACAGCTATCAATGAAATTAATATTATATTGTCATAATTGAAGAAAAACTTGTATCAGTTTATTAAAGCCAAGAAGTTCTGTGAGGATAATCTTCAGATATGTTTAAAGAATATATTGAACAAAAACTTCTCTAGGCCATCCTACACAATCAGTCCAATAACCCTACTAAGCATATAATTAACAGTTAACTCTGGAGAATTTGATAATACAATATTCACCTCCTAGTAACCTGATATAGAAGAGAAAAAATCCAGTGAACATATGGATTACATACAGTGTGTCCACTTTAAGAACTTACTACCCCTGTAAAATCGTTAATATTATCTATCTGATAGATTTCCATAAACATTTTCTTGTTGGATCGGTATTTAAAATTATGATCCAACAAGAGAGTGATTTTATTGTGACCATTTTTATTGACCCCTATTTCAGGGATTTGTTCTCAAAAAATAATGATGGGTTCTGAATCAGGTCACTTGAAACAAACCTGTACTGATCATCATTGAACACAGGGAGTCCGAAAAAACTAATCATTATTTTCTTTGAATACATGATCAGAAAATGTATAGTACTGTCGTATTTTGGAAAGAACTAATGATAAATTAGTATTAAGGACTACTTTGAACATATCTGTACTGATTTTCATTGTTCAAATATGTGTCAGAAAAAAAACATGCAATATTTTTTCATCATTTAATTAAAAAACAATAATAATTTGTTTTTTTCGGGCACCCTATGTTTAATGATGATGAAAATCGGGTATGTTTCAAGTGATCTTGATTTAGAATTCATCATAATTTTTAAAGTGAAGAAATATGATAAAAAATATTGCTTATATATTTTATTTATTTTTTCTCAGACACATTGTATATTCAAATGATGAAAATTGGTAGGAAAGTTCCAGGTAATCCTGAATAATAATATGTCATTGGTTCTTCCCAAAAATACCATGGTACTACATTTTCTGATCACCTATCAAAAAAGAAAAATATTTCGGACACCCTGTGGTTTGTGATGATGACAATGACAGGTATGGTATGTTTCAAGTGATCCTGATTCAGAATCCATCAATATTTTTGGTCCAAGAATGGAATCACTTTATTTTTGTATGGACATTTCAAATACCTATCAAACAAAAAAAGCTTCGCAATTTGGCACTGATAAAATTTTATTTGAGCAGTTGGACACAGTACATAAAAATTTCCAACAGTATATCAAATCCAATCAATGTGATTTCTGGAGTCCCCCAAGGGTCTCACATTGGTCCTATACTGTTCTTAGTATTCATAAATGATGTTATTGATTTATTTCAAAATTTCGTAGTATGCTGACGATCTGAAATTGTATAAAGAGGTAATTTGTTTGAATCACTGCCAGATGATTCAACAAGACTTGGAGAAGTTTTGCAACTTTTGTGAACTGAATTTACTGGATATAAATGTTGAAAAATGCAAGGTGGTGCGTTTTTATAAAATACAAAATCCAATTGTATGTGATTATTTTATTGAGAATGTAGATTTGCAGTCTGTTGATTATATTTATGTGAGTTAGGTGTTGTGTTTGACAAAGACCTCAGTTTCAATCACCACATAAATAGTATTTGCAATAAGGCCTTGAGAATGCTTGGATTTGTGAAGACATATTCAAAATATATTCAATATTGAAGGGATAAAAACATTATATGTATCATTGGTATGTGGTGTTCTGGAATACAATAGTATAATCTGGTCGCCACTTCATCTTGCTCACAAGGAAAGAAGGAAAGACTTGAAAGAGTCCAGAAACGCTTTACAAAATGCATAATCTAAAAAAATGAGAATGTCTTTTCAGTGAACATTCAAACTCTCGATGACAGACGCAAACTTGCTCTGATCTTGTTTCTGCACAAAATTTTTAATAACACTGCTCGCCAGCTGCGATGGAATCACTGATATTTCTGGAAAATACTATCAGGAGACAGAAAATAGGTTGAAAATGACACTCAGTATAATTACATTAATCAAAGGATTTCTAGAAAACCATTTATATCGTCGAGATCACCAAAATGCTGAAGAACTGCGTGAAGACGTCATTTCAGCATTCCAAAAAGTGACATGTCTGAATTTTGCTTGGGCCAGAAGGGAAGACAATTTGAACATCTTCTATAGAGTTATATTTCTCAACGCCACTTACTAATTTCCTAATTAGGTAAATTATTATTTCTCTTATTTCTGTATCTTAAATAGTTTGAATGAATTGATAACAATGATATCAAATCGAATAATTTCTTTTTTATATCAAATATTCATTTGTCTGCAAAGAAGATATTTGAATTGAATTTTCATTGATATTTATTCTCCTCCTGTGGTTAATATATACAGAGTGTCATTTTCAACCTATATTCTTCCTCTTGATAGCATTTTCCAGAAATCTCGATGATTCCATAGCTGCTGGCGAGCAGTGTTATCACTGAAGTTGTTCCTCCAAAGCCCTCGAGTGTATCGTAGGCATCTTTCTCACAGTTGCGAATTTATGATGAATCCAGCCTCAATGATTATTGGGAAAGATACGGAGGTGTAACCATGAAAAATGTGACACGCTGAATATATTTTTGCGAATATTTCTGAACTAGTGGAAGAAAAAGGTATATTCTTGGAATTGGAAAGCCTGGGACTATCTAACTGTTCCAAAATATACGGGGTGTTCCATAAGAAAAAATATAATTGGATGCCGTATCTTTTAAATAACACCCATGGTTCCAATGAATTGTTCACATCATACTATATGAATAAACTTTCGGGAATTTACAATATTCCCCACCATAAAGCACTCAGAAAATAAAAACGAAATCGGCGGTTTTTCAATTTCCCCCTGTACCACTGAAACGAATGGAGATATCAAAATTCCGAATGTGCCATTCTAGGTTTCTTTAAAATCGAACCCATAACATGTATATCGGTTTTTCGATAACTCCTTTAGTTATTGAGATAGTCCGTGAAAACGCCCAATTTTGCCCACCCTGTACTTTGAATTGAATAAATGAATAAATAAATGGAACATTGATCAGATAATAAAGATTTTACAGGGGTGGACACACTATAGATGCTTCTTGATGAACTTTTCCCACATGTTTTATGATGATCGGCTTAGCAAGATGAATCAACGTAAGGACCCTCCTGAATCTTCTTTGAACAACGTCCTAGAATAAAAATTATTTTCTGGTGAACCCTCGCCAGAGGGAAGCGATACTAGCGGCGGCGCTGTTCACCAAACCGCCTGCCATGCTGCTGGCCTGCTGTGTCGTTATCATCTGGGGGGCCTGGCTGATGGCGGGCCCCGCTGCTATCTCCGGGCATTGCACGTGAGGCACCTAAACGCATGGAAATGTTGACATATACAGGCTGATTCACGGTGGATGGCACATTAGACGTTTCTGGGGAACACAACGTAGGATTGAAAATTTCACACCAAACATTTAATATATAATATAATAAAAAGTTTAAGTTTGTTTGTTGCAGTATCACGTATTTATGTTCAGAATCATCCATCAAATTGAAGTATTTATTGTGGAAATCATGAAATATTGAGAAATAAAAATGTATTATTATAAAAATCCCCCTATAGATTTGGATTGATCTGATGTGAAACGATTATTGTTGTCATGCCAATCAAACCTTAAATAAGTTTGAAATTGTCGAAGTGACAGACACAGCGTTACTGTCATTTTCGATTCAGTGGAAATGTCACAATGTGATCAAAAACTCCTAGCTATAGGGATTCGATACAGAGATGCGTTATTACCAACGAAGTTTTAAGAAAGGTATGAGAAGCTATACACGCGTTTTATTGAATGGTGCAACAATAAAGAAATGAAAATACCGAATGAAGAATAGGTAATTTTGGATCATTTCATAGAAGTGTCTGAAACCTAGAGACCAAACTCCTTGCTGGCTTCCGCAATGAACCAACATAATGCGTTAAACTGTAAGTTCACAATAGCTATTACTGATAATTAGTAGATAGAGAATTATATATTTCTCTCGTTAGTTGTTCCTATTTGCATGAATAATTAATTGAACGAATCAATCAATTTCCTACGCTTGTAGAAAAAATATTGTTCCTAACTCATGCGGAAAGTGTCTTTCCCGCACTCAACTGCTTGACCGAGCTCCG